TTTGTGTGTGTGTGTGTGTGTGTGTGTGTGTGTGTGTGCGTGTGTGTGTTTGTGTTTGTACGTGCTTTACGGCGCTCTCAACTGCACACGGTTATAAGAGCGCGCAGGACACATTAAACATTTTCAGTTGGTAGGAAATTTTGAATTTTGACCGGGTGGCGGCCGATTTTTAAACCACCAATGGATCTTTAACGTGCACAACTTGCCCACGGGTCATCCGAGATTTTTCGCCCTTATCCGAGATGGCTAGATCTAGATGTATATCTTTTCTACCGTAAGATCAGGGGTGTGGCTGAAAGACAGCAGTGAGAAGGAGCCAAGAAGTAGAAGTAGAAAGGCTGCAGAAAGAGTCAGGGGCCCAAGGAGAGGGCAAAGGGTGTGAGGGGGTTGGGGCAGAAAGTGAAAACGAAGGCAGACAACAGAACATTGTTTTAGAGCAGGAAAGGATGTGAAAGGAGAACATTTTAGAGAAGACATTTTTCCGTCGCTCTCCGGATTCGAATCCGGGACCTATTGAATGAAATGCGAACCCCTTAACCTATAGGTCACGAGTTTCCCCTGACTTGTTTGAAAGGGTAATCAGTGTGAAACAAAGAACCAGATTTAAATGAGACAACACTTCTTATTCGAGGCAACATCACTGGGTTGTGAATGAAAACAATTTTAATACTGATTTCATATTGTATGCTTGTTTGTTTACACGCCAGATTAATAGAGAAGATGTCTCATAATATAGTTTTATTCCAACTTCGAACAAAACGTTATTATAATTCTAAACGCACGGTGGGAATAATGGTCTCAAGACATTTCAACATTAAATGTAACTAAAGATGTGAATACACGAATAGAAGTAGGCGCGGTTCGTACATAGAGCATGGTCGTGCAGTGCCACCCAAATGTGTTTAATGTTCTAATACGTAATACACGCACGATAATAAAATAAAAGAAGCTAGAAACAAACACTAGCCAAATGTTTTATCAAAGTAAGGTCCTTACTGGCGCCTTAACTGTCATTTCTGTGTCTATAACGCCGTAAAACATCTACTATGCCATGCCAGTCCACGCGCTTTAGCTAAACATAATAGGATATTCAAAAGTGTAACCGGGTCTACAAATCGCTCTTGGGGATAACCCAAGCGATGACCACACTGGTAGCGAGTTTGGCGGTACATTAATATTAATAAGACGGCACATCTCAAATGTGCTCCTGCCGAACAGTGCCGAAACATAGCCCACAGTAGGCAGTCTAAAAATAAACGCGATAGACAAATACGCTATTCTTTGCCAATATTATGTGAGCCCCGGAGCAATCCAGCGGAGTGCTCAAGTGAATTGTGATTGGTTCATTGTCTGTCTTGCCACTATTTTAAGTTACTCTGTGACCGTGAACCCGAGGGAGGTGAACGTGACCGGCCTATGGTTTGTGCCTTTGAATGGTTTTGTAGTGGAGTAGTGAAAGTTATTACTTGCGTGTTAAGTTCCAATACGGGATGAACGAAATTGATGTTTAGCTAACAAACAAATTTAGTACTAGAAATCAAAGCCACAAGTAAAATCCATGAAAATAAAAGCACGAGGTCCTCCCTCGCCAACCCAAAGATCCTAAAATTATACACCGTCTCGTTTACTATGCCCTTGACTATCTTCAGCATGCGATAGCTTAATTGTGCACTTCCACTTTTTAGCCCCACGAGCCGCCCCTGAATAGAAGGTAAAGAAGCAGAGATGACAATACAAGGAATTATGTACTACCAGTTTGGTTTCAAATTTGGCTGTCTTTGTCTAGCGTTTTGTGGTCAGGAAATCATGTTGTGATCTGAATATAGAACGGTAAAAAGTCGAGGAAAAAAACAAAACAGGCACGCACAGCAGCCACTCGATTATTTGGAGTAAGCCCCCTCACTTTTTTAAGTAGACTGTACCAATGCAATTGTTTGCTTACATAATCAGTGCTTGTGACAGCTTATTAGAGTGCAATTAAGCAGTTTTGAGTGTTGTGCACACTGCTCAAATTAAAATGATTTAAATTCATAATGCCTAAGGGTATATTTGACGTCGGCAAAAGTCCCCAAATAACAGAAGCGAAGCAGTGGTTATTTGAGTATGTTGACGCTCCGCCCCTTCATGCTAGTGATTTTAATGCCACTGATTAACAACAAAATATGCTTTAAGAATAGTAGATCTACATGTATTTAGTTTTGATAACTTCAGTATTTGTATATTTAAGGGGGTGGGGGGCTACACCCCAAAAATCAAAATTCGGCTCAAAATCATGGAATTTGAGTTGTAGGCATTTTTATCTTCCTCAGCCTCTCCTACAACTATTTCATGGCATGAGAACCCCCCAAAACCGTATTTTTTCCCATACCGGGCATGTTTGTAACCGCCATTTCCTTATAAAGTCAGTATTTTATTTTTCTTTATCGGCCGTTTTCTCAAAATGCGACTTTTCTCTATACTTTTTTTAATAACTCTACCATTTTTCATCTAATCTTCTTGAACTTTTCACAGAATGAAGAGAAGAGGTAATACTAAAAATCTGTCTGTTGAATTTTTGATATATGGAATAGATTTTTGTTGGTGGTGTCTGGAGTGTGGATTTTCACGGATTTTTCGCAAACTTGAATGCTACCTCAGGAAAAAATTCATTAAAAATTTTCTAATTCGATTAGGAAAAAAACAACAGACAAATTTTTAGATCTAATGTTTGTAAACATGCATGCAAAAAAAAAAACAATCAATTTCCATATTCGATAAGTGCGGTATTCATTACGTAAGACATGTCAATAACATCCAATATGGCTGCGTATTCATGGAAACGAAACTTTTTTCTCAAATTTGATTGCGGATTTTAAGACTCCTTACTATGCTTATTATATGTGTGAAATTTGGTAAAATTCGGTCCAGTAATAAGCGAGATAGCCTCCATGTGTAGCCCCCCCCCCCCCCTTAAAATATGGTACTTTAGGGGGATCTACAGTTTTTGAAAAGCAAAACCAGTTATTGGTTCTGGCTGCAAATTTATTATATGATCACAACTTTCTAATTAGCTTTTGCAGCATGTTTATTCAAAATCAAAGACAGTTTCCCTTGTTCCTTGACTTCTGGCACAAAGCGCTGGCTCTGATTCAAAACTATCACGAGAATTGAGATAGCTGGGCTGTTTCAGTCATTAATTGCATTATTGTTTAAATCATTTATAAAGAACATCAGTTTGGTGCTTATTTAAGTTTCAAGTGAGATGCACATATGTGAACACTAATCTTCCATGAATAAATATTCCCCATACCTCTTAGAGAATGAAGCCTAAGTTAGAAATTGGAAGAAATTCGTCAGAAATCTCCTTTATTAAAGTGTTCATTCAGGACGTGCTTACAAAGTTCATGTCTCTCCAAACAAAATTTGAACGTGACTACAAATGGCATACAGTAGAACATGACTATAGCGGCACCCGCTATGGCGGGACCATCCCTACAGCGGTATCTTACCGGAATCCCCTTTTATTTTTCCTATGTAAACTCAATTACATATGCTTGGATATAGCGGGTCAAGGAAAGTCACGAACTCGGATACAACGGGAGAGATCGAACGAGCCCTAGCTTGGGGTGGGGGGTGGGGGTGCTGTAGGAGGTCTCCAAACAGGCAGTCGGCGTTGTGAATGGCTATTCCAGTGATGAGTGAGGTCGGGCAGGCGGTAGGCCTAGAGAGAAATGGTGCGGAGAGACAGATGGTGCGGAGAGACGCGTTAAACCACTCCAAACTGATATAGATCTATAATAGCCCTAGCCCTAGGCTAGCCCAACAAGTAAAAGAAGAGGAGAGCGTGTAGTGTGTGATTCCTGATTCATTGAATTGCGATCGTTGATGGTCAAGCATACGCACGCATACACTTCATCAGTTCTACAGTAGGCCTACCGGTACGATAGACAGCCTAAGCAACAAACCGAGGAAAAGATGGCTTCCAACAAAGACAAAAGGAAATGCTTTTCCCTCTTATGAAAGGCCGAGATAATCAACAAAGTTGAAAAGAAAAGGAAGACTAATCTAAAGTGCAAATTTTACTGATATAGGAAGTGATGTAGTCATGTATATTTTAAAGAAAATTTTCGGTAATTTCCTCTTTGCATTCCTATAGCGGGAACTCGCCTACAGCGGGATTTTTTTCGAGATTCGGAATTCGGCGAATTCGTGGGGTCTGAGTCGGAGATCGAACATTGGGCAGGAGGACGAGTCCGAACACGAATTCCCGAACTAGGGCAGCCAAGGGGAAAATAGATCACGAGGAGCGAAAACATATTTAATTTGTTAAAAACTGTGAATAATTTTACGCAAAACTGCACCCAAGAAACATTTTTGAACGCTCAAAAGTTAGATTTGAATGAATAAAAATGCATAAGTTTGAAAAGTATCATAAAACACGATGTCTTATTTCTATTTTCCCCTCGCTGTGTTCAGAAGGAAGCAGCGAGTTCGAATTGGACCGTCCCACGATTCCATCGACTCAATGAAAGTCACATGAGCTTTTAGAACGCGCTGATTCGCT